GGCTGACAGCAGTCTACCCTATTGCTTTCTATCACATTTTTGCTCCCTCTTCATCAGGAGCACCCCCAACCCTCAGCACTCATCTTTGAGTGTTGTAGCTCACAAAAACCCTCCTAAAGAACAGGTTCTACGATCTAGGTACCACATAGGCACACCACCACTCACTTTCATTGTCTTTTGTGTTGGTTTTGGTTGGTTTTCACCACTGAACCTCACTTTGACTCACAGCGTGCAAGGTCAAGTCATTGTCCAAAGAGCCTGGTGTAACCCCACAGCAAAAATACCTCTATCTGGTCAAGTGGCTCAGTTACCCACACTCCCAGAATAGCTGGGGGAGCGAGGACAACCTTATAAATGCCCCAGAGGTTCTCAGGGAGTACAAGCATGTTCACAACCTCTGAACATGACATGTCCTACACCCCCAACACTGAAAACCCCAGCTCAGACTACTTCAACAATGACTTCCATGCCAATATCAATGAACCCTATGACCCCTCTCACCCATACTTCGATCACTATGCCAGTACCCCTCCATGCCTCTCAGAACCACCAGTATGCCCCCGCAGAATGCTACACTCCCCATCCCCCACAGTATCCTCCCACTCCTCATGTGCAGGGGCCTACCAACCCCTTCATGACTCTGTCGCCTCTGCCTCTTGCCCATACCCATACCCAGTCATCTGCTCAGTCCCCTCTTCACAGAGAGCCCATAAGGACACCTGCAAGGGAAATTCCAAGGCTCCCTCGGGACCACCCGAGCCTCACTATGACACCTCCTTTTGATCCTGCAACACACCCCCACTCTCCCAAGCCAGTTACAGATCCCCCTCTCCACTCCCTCGCTCTGGTGCATCTGCTCCAGCACCATCTGTCACACTGGCCAACCTCTCGGCCCCAGCCATCACACCTGCAGCCCCCTCCACAACTAAATGGATGGCTCCTGAGGCAAGCATCTTCCTCAGTTACGTGTGGCTGCTTAATGACTTTGAGCTCTGGGAGTCACATGGCTGGAGAGCAGGAGAATGTCATGAACATCTACAGGTGTTGTCTAAGATCTTCAGAAGCTCAGAAGTGATTGGCAAACAGGTATACAATCAGGTCAGAATTGTGGAGAGAAGTTTCAAAGCGCATACATATGAAGATGTCAACAAAGCCAACTCCTCTATCCTCCAAGAAGCCCTTAAGACCCAAGAGGCCGTCGTCAAGATCGTCCACAAAGACTATGGCCCCTCACTCATCTCTTCCTTTTGCTCCTTCCTCAACCGGACCCCCCTCGATGTCGTGGTCCATGGGCTCCTCCCTCTGGCGTGTCAAGCAGTGCCTGGAAGATTGAGCTTACCTGAGGACTCTCTCCGAGGACAGGCATGCAAGGTCTCAGAAGAAAGGGCTGGAACTAATGCTGGAGGAGATAGAGAAGTTGAGGGAAATGTCAAACAGAGGTGTTGTGATTGCTGGGAGAAGATTATACTGGGCCAAGGTCAAGAACACTTCCAATCCATCGCAGATGCTCTCACCATGGTCCCCTTCAATGGATTGCCCCGCAACTGGCTCGATTTCTTCGCCCAGGCCCAAGGCGATGCTGCTGGAAGGGCCCTCTTCTATGCTCATCAGACAACAAGAGCTCTTCTGGCAGCTCCCTTCATCCCAGTACCTGTCTCTGCCCTCAGCAAGAGAGAACTTGGTGGGCTCGTTCCCATTGATTGGCAACATCCCCTCCATCAGTTCACCTGCTACCGATGTTCATGCCTTGGACATTGGTTGGCTGACTGCCCAACTTGCGGTAGCAACTGACTCCGAAATCCGCTCTTGGGTCGTCCAAGGCCTCTACTCGCCTTTGGAGGACCTCAGGCCTTGAGGGGGGGGTGATGTTACACTGCACTCACATTGTTCCCTCTCACAGACACTTATGTAATCTGCTCATGCTTCATCCTGCCTTCCAAGGAGTTCCCTCTTTTACTGCAAGCCACTGTCTACACAGTTGGACTTGTGTTCAGTATGTTTCCCCTTTCTGTTTCCTTTTATGGTAGACCCCTGTCTACCCCACGTTGTACTATAGCCAGGCATTGCGCCTGTTCCCCTTCCTTCCATGATCCACTGGTGGCCCTGATCCATGTGGTCACATGCTTGCGTTCACCCCAGGTGAACACTCCACTTGTGACTCCTACACGGTTAACCCCTCTTACCAGTGCAGGTTAATCCCTTGTTTACCCCCGTTCCCTTCTGTCCACAGCAGGGTCGCCCTTGTGCCCTCCATCTTAGGGAACTATTGAGCAATTAACCTTGTATTCAAATGTTTGATGTACAGTACTGTACATATGTATATAAACCCACATGTATCGTACCAGTCCCTCATTCGAAATCTACTTTGCAACCACCCTTAGCTCTGCACACTGTACCAACAAGGACTCACCAGTATGACTTTGGTTGGCCAAGACTAGTGTTCTGCTGCTAGTGAAGTTAAATTACATGTCACTTCTCATGCAGTTACATGCTTGTGCTTCATCACACTTGATTCATGACACGATATGAGTCATCAGCATAACACTGGGACATGGTGGAGCACCCTGTCCCCATGTGATTGCACAAGCCCAGCAAGCAGCAGGTGAACCTCCACCCATGGATGATCAAGAGTGGGAAGATGTGGAAGATATTGAAGAAAACCCAAAGCACCTCTGTCCTCCAGCAGGGTCAAGATATCCCACTGTCATGGATGTCACAGGTGTTCATTTCATTGTAGTGAATTGGTGTGAATGCAAGACTGCAGAAACCTGATACATACAGTTACTCAGAGCCAAACTATTTCCCTCAACATTTGAGAAGCCAAGCACCACATTCACATTCATGGTTCTGGATGACTTCCTGAGGGACAACCTGGAATGTGGAATGTCTGGTATGAACTATTACAGCAAGTTGTGTCAGATCACATCCAGTGTGTTGCCACACCTCAGTCCAGTAAGATTTGGTATTTTGGTTCCAAGTGTTGGAATGTCAGAAGGGTCAATCAGGATAGATACCATGAGCTTCTATGGGTTGCATGGAAATTGCAATACCTCAAGCTACTTAAATGGAATGGATTCTGCAGGACAACCAGGTCAGCAGAGAAAGGCAGACTGGCATTGTTTTGTGCAGCATGCCCCCAGCCTGGAATAAATGTTGATACCAATGAGGATTTGGACCAGTAAGTGGCTCCAATAATGCAATCCTCATATGCTGACCTTCTCCAGCTGGCAGTTCACCTGCACAGTAGTAATGGACCACCAGAGTCTGCTGACTTCAACCAAGCAATGTGGTAGTTACCACAAAAGCAGTTACAGAATTCATGGCAACTACCACTTCCCAATATAGACAATGCCCCCTGAGTGACAACCTCTGTTGGTGTTTGAAAAAAATTCAGATTGGAATGTTCCCATGGCAGGTTACCCTGTCACAAATATTGATAATTTGCACCTGTACTGTGGCTATACAGATGAGCATGTGACCAGCAGATGTGATGGTCACATGATGAGTGACATAAGCAGAGATGACTCTAGATCATATAATTTTATGTAATTGATTATGTGATGGTGATCCTCTGGAGCACTCTGTTATGTAATTTATCATGTGGTCATGGGAAAATATGCATGTGACTTAATCAATGTCACATGACAAGGTACAATTATAGATCATCCAAACTATTACATAATAATCACATGTCAGTTTATCCCCAGAACACTTGGTTATGTAATGGGTCACATGATTGTGAGACAATAGACATGTGACCACTCCTGCAGCATCACATGACAAGGTACAATTATAGATCATGTGACCTGTTACATAATGATCATGTGGCAATAACTCTCCAGACCATTGGCTTATGTAATAGGTCACATGACTGTACTCATCATGTGATCTCACCACCAGCACTCTGCATGTGACTCAACCCATATCACATGACCAGCAATCCCACCTCCTATTCGCATGCTGGGCATTTGTGGCTGTGCTAAAAATGCGAATTGTGTCCCCACCCATTCAATTCTTGACATATGGATCTGAATTTTTGTGTGTAGAATAGGCTACCATGTTGCTACACATTGTCAAAGGTACAGCTGGTCTTGTCCAGTAGTTGCTGAGATATAATGGAAATGAAAATGCCAACAAAACATCACATCATTCAACTTACACATCCTTCATGCCATATCTGAAACTTCAGGAGGGTTGGACACATGCATATCAATTCATAGACAATGTTTGGTGTCACCCCACTCAGATCTGAGAGAGCAAGATGCTTATGTAACAGGTCACATGATCTATAATTGTACCTTATCATGTGATGCTGCAGGAGTGGTCACATGTCTATTGTCTCACAATCATGTGACCCATTACATAACCAAGTGTTCTGGGGATAAACTGACATGTGATTATTATGTAATAGTTTGGATGATCTATAATTGTACCTTGTCATGTGACATTGATTAAGTCACATGCATATTTTCCCATGACCACATGATAAATTACATAACAGAGTGCTCCAGAGGATCACCATCACATAATCAATTACATAAAATTATATGATCTAGAGTCATCTCTGCTTATGTCACTCATCATGTGACCATCACATCTGCTGGTCACATGCTCATCTGTATAGCCACAGTACAGGTGCAAATTATCAATATTTGTGACAGGGTAACCTGCCATGGGAACATTCCAATCTGAATTTTTTTCAAACACCAACAGAGGTTGTCACTCAGGGGGCATTGTCTATATTGGGAAGTGGTAGTTGCCATGAATTCTGTAACTGCTTTTGTGGTAACTACCACCTATGACGCAATCATAGATAAGCGATGAGCCTGCCCTAAAGTCACTGGGCTGTATATAAGGCTCGGATAGTCCACCGATGAGCTGCAGTGTAGCGAAATTCCTCGGTGCTCGAAGTCGGGCACGAAAATTTGGGCTTTCCAATACTGCAGTAACGTTTTTTGTTTTTCTTCCTTCCGCCTTTCCCCGTCGTACTCAAACGTACTATGCCTCGCGCAAGTTCCCTCCCCCTCTCTTTTAGGTCTCCCCGCCGCGGCTCGTCCTTTGGACGAGCTGAGGTGACTGCTGCCCTCGTCAACCTTGACTTGGGGTCCCAGTCGGGCCTTGCGCCCATCGCAGAAGACGGTGATGAGGATCGCCCCCAACCTTCCATGTCCCGTCCGATGCACCCTCCGCGTCGAGCCCCGCTCGAACCGGCCACAAAATTTCGTGGCTGGACGCCCCAGGACCTTGTGGATGGCAACGTCCAGTTAAGGTCCGGAGCCGCGGCGGAAGCACAGACGATTACTCAGGTAATCGACTTGCTTCCTGTGGAGTACCGTTCGTCGCTCCGCCCCAAGTTCTTCGGGATTGTGGACATCGCTACGAAACGCGAATTGGTGGCCAATCAAATAAACCGCCTACGCGTCGACAAGATCGCCGGTCGTATCCCAAATTTCTTACGTAGTTGTAAGCCGCCCACCGTCCAGTTTTCTAAACAGGCTCGGACCGCTCTCCCCAACCTCAGCGAGGCCATAGTCGAAGGCCATAAGCAGTACCAATTGGAACTGCTTGAAGCTGTTATTAAGGAGAAGGAAAAGGAGGAGCGCCAGCTACAGGCCAGTCTTAACATCGTTGCCATCACTAACCGACTTTATGAAACAATGGCGGTTATCTACGATGAGCTCAAGTCGTCGTCCCTCGTTCCGAAGGACCCGAAGAAGATGTTGGAAGGGGCGCCTGAAGATATGGACGAGGATGAAGACCTCGTTCCCGCCCCCCATATCCAAGCTATATACAACTCGCTTATCCATGAGGTCCCCAACCTCGTAGCTCGCGTCATTGTCCTCGCCCGCGCTCGCATTGTCGCCGAGGAGTCTAAACGCAAAAAGAAGAAGGAGTTGAAAGATGTGGCCGCCGCAACTGCTGGGGAATTTGTCCCCGATAAATCCAGCATCGCTAAGATGGTCGCCGCTCAGGTGAAAAGGCAGTTGAATGCGAAGGTGAGAGTATCGACGTGGAACTCGAATAATCACTCACACCGTTCAGGGTCCCAAGCCTGGCAAGGGCGCCAAGGGAGGCAAGAAGAAGAAAGACGCTTCTGGCGAGTCCAAAGCCAAGAAGAAGAAATCTTCGAAGAAAAATTCCGACAAGCAGTCGAAAGCCTCGGACTCCAAAAAGGCGAAGTCAAAGAAGTCCAAGAATGCCAAGCGCTCCAAGGGCAAAGGCAAAGAGAAATCTTCGTAGACAACGCCTTCGACTATTTGGAACACGTAAGTACTGGTGCTATTCGGTTTGATAACCCAAGCACTTATCCCGACTGGTTGGTAGAATTGCCTCCCTTCATAGCAGTCGCGATAATTGTACGAACGCTTTGTCCTGTAGACGTACTAGAAAGTAGTCTACTTTTACATCATGTACATGTTGGTGAGGACGTTCCTTGCACATTGGCAGATTTGCCAATGTTATATACACTATCTTTCGGGTGGAAGTTTCTCCTTCCCGCTTATCCAAATGTCAGTTTAATACACGACAGTTGGCAGAATTTAAAAGAATGCCTGAGATGGCGTTTCTACCACTTAGAAAATTCAATGAGCGATCCCAACCCTGTAAGAGATGTTTACGAACCAGACTACGATTTACGACTTAAGGCTGAGTCGTTTAACATTGAGGATAACGAAAACCCTATGCTTGAATGGTGTCTTAGGGAGGGAAGCGCCTTTATTGCTGAAAAATGCAACGCTATAACCCCTGAGATCCGACAGTCCACCAAACTGCCGATATCAATCCAACGCATCAAGCAATGGCTTGTCAGCCATGAATTAATGGTCCTACCTTCGGACAAAAATCTAGGGTGTGCAGTGGTCACGGTAAAATGGTTTGAAAAACATACGCTGGACTTACTGGAGAGGGAAAACTCCGGTTATGTTGAGCTTGATATCGATACCTCCTTGGAAATGATTGGTAGAGATATCAAAACGCTTTGGCGTTTGACAGACGAAATCGGCAAACGACTTCCTGAGTATAGACAACTTCGGAAGTTCCTTACCCAGCACGTCCCACCCCGTAAGCGTGGTGACGAATATATTCCTAGGGGAATCTGGTTAAGGATGGTAAAACTGCCACAATTCTATGGAATCCCTAAGATCCATAAGAAACCCGTAAAATTGCGCCCTATCGCGCCATGTCATTCGGACCTAAGAAATCCGATGTCGAAATTAGTCTCGAAAATTCTCAAGCCCTTCGTAGAGGCTTCACCATACATTTGCCAGGGAACTAAACAGTTGGCCCAGGAATTTAGTATGATTACTCTACCAAGAAATCAAACCCTGTGGATTGTCACTGGCGATATAGTCGCTTACTACCCGAATATTGATCCGGGTAGGGCAGTAGAAGATATTTCGCTGCTGACAAACCCAACCTCTGGCCTCTGGCCCCTCCCTTACCCGGAGGACTCGCTAGTTCCTAAGTTGGGAACCGAACTGTGGGAAGAAATTCTCCGTTTCGGTACCACTGGCCTCCAAGTCGAATTCCACAATTATAGGTATTTACAGGTAGCCGGAATAGCTATGGGTGTAGCTGCGTCCCCCGACGTGGCCAACCTATACGCGGCTCGCTCTGACTTTATCTGTGGACGCAACCGAGATGTTCTGTTTCTACGACGATTCATAGACGACATCTTTATGATCGTCCGCGCTGACTCCGCGGAAGATGCTTTATACTTAGCTACTCATACATGGTACCTAAGAGGTTGTGAAATCGACTGGGCTCCGGCTGCTCGGCATTGCATCTTTCTTGATATGCAAGTATGGTTAAATGACAAAAACCATATCCAATGGAAGCCGTACCGGAAGCCTAATAACCATTTAGAACGAATCCCATGGGACTCCAGCCACCCCCTTGATATAAAACGAGGCACCTTCATAGGGGAATTGTCCCGCCTTGCCGTATTGTCCAGTAACATAGAGTACTACTTGGACGCAGTTAAAATTTTTAACTGACCTGTACATTAGTCGCGGGTATCCGGCTCGGGTGGTCAAAACTTGGGTAAAAAGGAACTGTACCGACCGCTGGCATAAGCGCTTTGCTGAAAAGGGAGAACCTGAACCAGTTGTCGCACTTAAAACCCAATTTAACCCTATATGGGACTCGTTTAATATACATGACCTAAAAAATCGAATGCTGTTCCCAATGCGAAACGTACGCGACGCATGGGTCGGCGGGGACTTCGCTTCTGCTAGCTACCCCGTCCACCTCCCGACTCGCCTTCCAATTCTGTTTGAACGGCCTCCGTCGGCGGATCTCCTTTTTGCGGCCCCTGACCGGGTCCTGATCTACCGATGCGCCTTCTTTCTGGAAGAGGAACGCCTCGTGGAAAAAGACGCCTGGTTGTTTGATCTAGGCGCGGCACTATTCGATGACGCGAAGTGGGTCGTTTCTAGAAAACGCACATGTAATCTAGGCGATCTAGCTATGGTCTGGAACAAGGAACGTTTAAACCTTATCTCTAGAGTTTATAATCCTATGCCGTCAGCACAGGACTTACTAGAGCAACATGATAGGGTCGTTCTGGAACGTATTGAAAGACGTACACGTGCTATGCGTGAGGTGGAGCTGATCCTCGAACCTTACGGCTTGAACTCTATGTCGGCCTTCGACGGCCCGGTTATAGATCTAGGGTTCATAGTCGCTGATGAGGAAACACGCGATATCCTCAAGGAATGGAGATATTCCTGGATAACCGCAGCAGAACCCTGAGGGAATGATCCGGTTTCATAACCTATTTCAAAATCAAACCCTATTTTGACAACCCGTGGGAGTCACAGGGACGGCTAAGTGGGCTATGTATGCGCCCTTAATCCTATTGGACGATAGCTAACTGCCTTCTCACGCGTGATAGTCTAAACTATATTAAGTTATAGTGGTGACGTCACCTATGACGCAATCATAGATAAGCGATGAGCCTGCCCTAAAGTCACTGGGCTGTATATAAGGCTCGGATAGTCCACCGATGAGCTGCAGTGTAGCGAAATTCCTCGGTGCTCGAAGTCGGGCACGAAAATTTGGGCTTTCCAATACTGCAGTAACGTTTTTTGTTTTTCTTCCTTCCGACCATCCTGCTATCTCCTTTTTTAAGTTCCAAGTTAACTATTCTACATCACAAAGCCATGCATTTGCTAAGCTTCCACCTATCAGGATACATCAGCAGTTGTTTTAGTAGAATGAGATTATCCTTTGCAATTCTGTTGGCTGTCTAGCCATTATTGTCTTTTTCTCACTCTTAAATAAAGGTTGAATATATGATGTGGCAGGAGTGGTCAATTAAAATGGAAATACAAAATGACATTGTATGTACCATGGAGGAGTAAAATGATAGATGGCCTTGTTCACCCTGCTGTCCTATCCACCCTTGTCTCATCTGCCAGAGGCCCTAAGAGATCAATGAGATTGTCACCCAATGCTTGTCCATATACCTGAATACACAGAGCCTCCAGCTTGCAAGCCATCCTGTCCAGTGTCTGCATGGTTTCATCCTGTTGTATTTGGAAATCATTCATTTGATCCTTGTAGTATTGGCAGTGGGCCTCAGCATCATGGAGTCAACATTCCAAATCTTTGATTGTGTTGGATGTTTGTGACACCTCAGCAATTGGGGCACAGACAGGTGATGGTGCACTGGGAGTTGCAGTGGTTGTGAGTTGGACAGGTGCTGCTGTTGTTGATGGGCAGGTGTCTGCTTTGAATACAAGGGTTAACTGCAATAATTAGCATAAATGTAGAGTGATTAAATGTACCTGCTGCTGTAGATTCCTCTACCTCCTGCACAACAGATGGGCCAGCCTCAATGACTGAATCTGCTCGTACAGTGGCTGAGATTGGGTGGGAATCCCTGCATTTGAATGCAGGAATACAAATCTCTGAATAAAATTTGAGTCAGTGTAAATACATGAAATTGTGAACATACTGAGTGAAGATCCCTCAGGGATCATCTCTCCCTAGTTGGAGGGCCCAACCCCAGCATTGATGGCTTTGGAAGCCATCAAAACATGTTGCTTTGGGGGACATTCCTTTGGGCTTTGCGATTCTTGGGCCTCCATCATCAGGGACAGACTTTGAGCTCATGTTTTTCCCCTGGCTTGCAATGAATTCCATCGAGTTGGAGCAGCAATCCCACATTTGGCATGGCTACATTGAATCTTGTGACCATTGCACACAAAGCAGGACTTCCCAGGGTTCTTGTAGCATCAGACCTTGCATCTGTGGCATGACTCACAGGAATGGGGGTTGGGGGAAGGCATCCTTCTGGCAGCTATGGCAGCATGACCATATAGTCCATCTGACAGTGGACAAGACCTGTGTTTTGATTGGCCTTGAGTGGGAATGTCATTGTCATTGTCAGTTTCCACTGTTGCCTTCCTAGAGTGGGATCAACATCTGGATCAATGGGACATCATTTTTGCAGCAGCTTTGCACTTCTGCCTGCCTCATGCTGGTTCTTCCTTGTTGTCCTCCTTCTCTGGCACCTCATCTTCACCCTCATCATCCACCTCCATCTTGTGCAAGCTCTCCACTATCATTTGCTCCACCTCTGCCTCGGTCACTTTCCATTTTCGTTTGTCACTCATAGGCATTTCAGTCTCTTGAGCAGGTGGTGTTGGTGTTGGCACCACATGGGGCATGGGGAGGCCCAACTGGTGGTAGTCATATCAATCCTCAACAATGTTGAGCCACTTGTGGTTGGTGACATTGGTTTTGGATGGGGATAGAGCAGTCTTCCACTCAGGCCACAGGTGCTCAATTGAGCTGAGGTCTTCATGCCACTTTAAGAATGTGTCAATGCTGATGAGGGTCATTGGAATCTCATCCATCCTAGTGATGAGGTTGTGTACAGCATCCTGAATGCATCAGTTAGTGAAAAAATGTGATGACACTATGATGCACTAGTTCATCATTTATTGCCTTGATGGCACCTCTCCACTTCACAATCTTGTCTGCCTTTCCCAGCTTGCTGCTTTCCATGATATCCTTGAAGTAAATTTGAAGGATGTGGTTGGCTGCAGCATCAAGCTCAGACAATTTCTTGAAGAGCTTGCAAGATGACAATGACAACATGTTTCTGATGACAAGACATGGAGTAGTTTGATGGTGAGAGTGGTGATGGTGATTGGAGAGTGGAGAGTGGAAGAGTCAGAGGTTAAAGATGGACAATGAGATATGCAGATGTTGCATTTTTTATCCTGCCTATGAATGATTCCCATAGCATGATGGCAATACCAGTACAAGTCAATAATCCTGAGTGCATATATGAAGCAGAGGCTCAGATAAAAATGTGATGCATTGTTCTGGAATAGCATTGCCATTTGTTTTGCATGTTTCCCATCTGCTCCAATGGCAGAGCCTGGCTTGCAGCTACATACACCAGCACCTGAGATTCCAACTGAATAGGCAAATCATCCAACATGAAACACAACTTATAGTGGGAAATTCAGATACTCTATAGTGCAAGAGGTTCCACTTTCTTCATTTCTTGTCTTCCTGGGCCTGTCTTATATTGTGACAGGGGGATAGCCCAATTATGGATAGGCTTGTTGTAGGGAGCAGTATACTCCCTGAGGCTGAAACAGGGATGCTAACACCAAAATTCTGCCATTACCAACCACACCTGTCATCTTCAGAATTATTACATCTGCCTCATGCATCTGCCTCATGCACCACCTTGCCCATCGAACCTTCAGAGCTCCCCTGTCCATCAGTAACACACACCAGTCATCATCCCAGAATTCCATGTCAACATCAACCTGACATATGTCTATCTGGAATTCTGCAGTTGTGTTGCTTCAACCTTTGCCTCACCATGTAGCTGGGAAACCATGTAGATCATCAGTAAAAACTCTGGTTACCCCTCTCATTCCTTTCCTGTGAACCTTTCTCCACAATGCAAGAACCCCTTTTGCATCTATGCCCTCTACCCTTCGCATTCCACTCCACAGTACAGTGTACACTCATCCTGTCAGAAGATATCCATCTTTCCTGTTGGTCTTTCTCAGTTACTACTTTACAGTTTGTTTTCACACATTGCTGTATGGCCTTGACATCTGACATGCATGTTGCCCCCTATGTTTTTTGGAATTTTGCTTTACCTGCCCCACAATTCTCCAATCAGTACCTTACTATCCATGTACTATATAATTCTGCCTCAGTGACAAAAAAGGATCATCATTTTTAGGACTCACAATCCATGTCATATGTGGGTCTAAAGAGTTCAAAGAGTCTTGCATCTACTGTGTCTGCTTTGTATCTGTGTCCTTGCATATACTGTGTCTTCTGCATCTTTGTGTCCTTGTGTCTACTGTGTCTCATTTCCCCTCCCATGTGCTTAGTTCATCTTGGAGTTACTTTGTCAGGTCAAGATCATCACCCAGAATTTCAAAAGCAAGTCTATTCCTACCTCCAACTCTGTGGAATTTAATTCCATGCCCTACATTCAACTCTTTGACCAACTCTACCATCGCACTCTACATCTCCTTCCTACTCAGCACCCCTTGGGACAAGCCTAGGGATTTCCCCTACAGCTTTCCCCTATTCACATGCTACCCAGAGGTAGTGTCCCATACCATCCATTTGTGGTGAGTGATCTATGATATGACAAATTGGTCCATCTTATGCAGTGCCAAGGGTTTTTAATCCTGCAATGGACAGATTGGCCCATCTTATGTTGTAACACTGGTTTTTGTTTTCCCTTATCTGCTGCCTGAGAATGCCTTACATGGACCATCCTTATGTAGATAGCTTGGATCTCCCTTTCTGCCTCCTAAGAATACCATACATGGACTCATCCTTATGTTGCAACAGGGGTGCACCTTGCTAGATGGGCCTGTCCATTTGTTGTGACAATATACATGATACTACTGAAGGGCCTGTCCTTATGTTGTGATGCTATTAGATGATATTACTGATGGGCCCATCCATATTTTGCAACAATATAAACAATACTATTGAAGGGCCTGTCCTTATGTTGTGACACTATTAAATAACATTACTGATAGGCCTGTCTTTATGTTTTGACAGGGTACATCTTACTGGGGCCAGGCCTGCCCATATGTTGTGACAATATAAATAATTCTACTGAAGGGCCCATCCATATGCTGTGACAATATAAATAATATACTGAAGGGCCTGTCCATATGTTGTGATGCTATACATGAGATTACTGATGGGCCCATCTTTATGTCTCATCAGAGGTACATCTTACTGTGGACAGGCCCATCCATATGTTGCATAATACCACTGATGGGCCCAACCTTATGTTGTGACTCTATTAAATGATACTAGTGACAGGCCCATCTATATGTTGTGACATTATGAAACGACATTACTGACAGGCCTGTCTTTATGTTGCAACAGGGGTACAGCTTATTATGAACAGGCCTGTCTAGATGTTGTGACACCATAAATGATATTACTCCCAGGCCCATCCATATGTTGCCAACTTTGTATTCTAATCATAGATGGGCCCATCCTTATGTTGTGACCCTCTCCATGTTATGACAGGCAGGCCTGCCTTGATGTTGTGACAGGGGTGTAACCTACCAGGATGGGCCTGTCCATGTCTTACAGCAACTCAGTATACTTAATTGGTCATGGGCCCATCTAAATGTTTCAACATCCTTACCCACCACAGGCCCTCCCATATGTTGTGGTAATGCACTTACAGGCCTGTACATATGTTGCTCTCACTTTAGTCCCTCAGGCCTGTCCATGTGTACTGGCTAATCTATTTAGGCAGGCACATCTTGAGGTCTATATAAGTGTTGGTGTTTTGGCACACAGGCTGCCCATGTGTTGTGACTAAATGTGAATACACTATGTGACAAGCCACACATCATATGACAGGGCTGTGTACAGTATTCACACAAAGAACTGCACCACACACATGCCATGTCAGCCACACACACACCCACTGATCACCATAGATGAAATTCAAGTCCCCACTCATCCAAATGCTTCACCTGCTATCCAATACAAATACAATGCTGACTGCATTTCTACACCTGTGCTACCACAGTACAGGTTCTCAGAGGTATGCACTTGATGTCCAAGTGTCTAGCCTTTTTTTTTTCTTACTACTCATCTCATTGAGGGGGTGTGTTGGAGCACAGTATGCTGTCCAGTCTACACTGAGTTGATTACATAATATGTTAGGTACTTAGTTTACACTTTGTCTTACCTTACACCTCAGACTTCATCATTTCAAGTCTGAGGTACTGTGTTATTCCACTACTAAAGTACACCTTTCTTTACTCACTACTTACACAGTTCTGTGTCTAGGTTAGTAGATAATATAGACTTCATCATTTCAAGTCTGAGTTCTGTGTCTAGGCTAACTTGAGTAGCCTTCTGCTCTCACCCTACCCACAAAAACAACAATGTCCAGGGATGGAAATAGGATCTGTTCCCATATGTTAGTGCTTATTCAGGAGTTACCTAACATTACCACTTGGGGCATGGCATTTTGTGTCACTTTTGTTGTCAGGTATGCCACTCTCCAGTGAGTGTTGGCTCATGTGTTGCCTAATTGGTTGATCAGTGGTTCCCATAGAGATATGATGTCCCATTCATCTGCTACTGGGCTATTGATTAGTGAGTGCAGTGCAATGTGAGAAGTATTGAGGTTCTGTTGCCAGATGCATAGTTTAGTTAGTGTTCTGTTATGTGTATGTTTTTCAGACATAGGTTAAGGGGGGGTGGGGTTTGTGTTGCCTGGCTGAGAGTTCATGATGGGGATGGAGGGGGGACAGGAGGAGGTTGAGTCAGGGGTGGAGCTGGGGGGTGTGGGATGTTGTGTTGCATGTAGTGGCACATGAGGGGGCCTCCTCTTCCCCCTCTGATGTTGTTTTGACCGCATCTGGGTAGTATGGTGTGGAAGTTCACAGCCTCCCCTAGTGTTGTTTGCCTAAACTGGCCTGGGATTGCAGTCTGCAGGACTTGGGGCCTCATTGGTACAATGGGGATTGTTGGGTGAAGGGGGAGTTTGATGTAGGTCCATTCGTCCAAAGTGGGGAAGTATGGCATGCAGTTTTCTGGGGTTCACTTGTCCATTGCATTGCATCTTCTAGCTAGGTCAGGGCAGTTTCTATTGGTGCTGGTATGGGTGTCATTCTGGCAGTTGATACAGTAGCTTGTGGCAGAGTTGCATTCCTGCATATGATGGGCCTGAGCACATACACCACATGTGTCTGCTGATTGTTAACAGTCTCTTGCGAGATGCCCAATACACTGGCATTTGAGGCATCTGACTGGTTCTTTTTTGTCCTTGTGTGGTCATAACTTGTCTAAGCCCCAATAGAGGCCATCTCTGAGTAATTGGTTAGTGATTTCAGGGGAAGTGAGAGAGATGAGCACATGTGCTACTCATTGATTGGGAGAGTGTTTGGCTGGGTCTTTGATCCATTTGACTTGAGTGATTGATTCATGTGGGATGTTGTTCTTGCTTCCATTTCTCAGAGGGTGTCCAGGAGCTCTGTGTTGGTTGAAATAGGGAGGAACAGGATCACTATATTGTAATGATGGTTTTTGATCATGACCTCACCACCTAGTTTCACAAGGAAGGTAGCTTTGTTTGCAGGTTCTTTGATCCAATCCATGGCTTCCTGGGTGTTGAGTTCTAGGAGTATGCCATTGTTATGTAGTTGTGTGATTGATTTGAGCTGTAGGTCATGGCTGTCAACTTGCTCTACTGCTTCTAGGGCCAATTTGATCACTTCTATGATGGAGCTCCTTGATGGGGAGTCACTGAGAGTGGGGTGGTTGCTGTTGAGATCAATCAGTAGTTGTCTCTCTTCTATTGCAGCATGGGCCTTAGCATATTCTGGTGAGAGGCATTTGCCTAGCAGGATCTGGTTGGAGTTGGTTGCTGTTGTTGCTAGGACATCTCTGTATGGCATATGGGTGGTGGCAGGGGGCATGTAATTCTTGAGCAGGTTCTTCATGTCTTCCATTGTCATCTTCATCATGCCTATGTCCAAGATGATGTTTTGGACCTCCCCTTCTAGACAGAGAGTGTCTGCACCATTGGTCATATTAGTGATTGACTCCATTCTTTGGGTGTAGTTGGCATTTAGCAAGGTTGCATCCTCATTGACTTCTTCTAGTTTGTCAGCAGTTGATAAGATTTTGGCAATCTGAGGGGAGATGGCAGCAACAACTGAGTTTTCTATATTGCTTGACACTGCTTTGATGACAGTTTCAGCTATCACTAACAATGCTAGTTCCATGACTAAATATGCCATGGCTCTGATGGCTGATCTTAACATGTTATTTACACCTTTGGTTTGTGAAATGTAGAATAGCACATGTGAGATGTGTTCAGGTGTGGCTGGCTCACGTTGGACCATGTAGAGCTGGTCCAGGTATGTTCTGGCTGAGCCCGCGTTTTTTATCTCTGCTTCCGGGTCGCTAATGATTTCAAGTAGTGAGAAACCTCCACTCCTGGTGGATTTGCCGGCTAGGCTGGGGCCTGACATACGGGGTGCTTGCGGGGGTCCTGGCATGGCGTGGGAATTTGACCTCAAGGACGGACGTCCTGTCGTGGTCATGCGGCGGGGGTTATGATGTGCCGGGGATGCTGAGTGTGGTTATCGGATAGGTTTGTGATTCTGTGGGGTGTAGGATGTTTGTTTTTCGTCGCTTTGGCTGCGACGGGCTCTACTTTTACTTTTCCTAGCTCGTGCGACGAGTCCCAAAGAAATTTTTTCGGGGTCCTAGTCGGGGTGCCAGACGGAGCGGAGTCAAGGAGCGTTAACGAGTAAGCATGACATTGGCTCGTCCCTCATGAATCAGGAAGCCAAGTCTGTGACCTGACCAGAGAGATAATGATGTGTTCCGCCTGGTTGCCTGTCGCTGGGTTGAACTTGGAAGGGCAGAACCAGGATGAAGGAGCAAACCTTGAAATGAATCTATGTTGAATACTTTATCTTCATGACGTACGTTCGCCGCCTGCAGCTCACGTTCAATAAGGGAGCGTTGGGCATCAGACGGTGTGACGATACGACAGTTTAGTGCCTTGGCTTGGTATGCAGCGGCGATCTGCACTACAACTTGCGCCTCTGAGGGATTCTGCCTTGATACAAGGCATGGTCATTAGAGTCGAGGAAGTAACGCACGATCCAACTCTTTCCTGATGGTTCTTCCTGTCCTCTTTCAACGTCAATGAAGTGGCACGGGAGACTGACTGAGTTTGCGTGACAAATTTTCAATTTCCCGTTGTAGACTCTCTGTGAAATGAAGTCGCCGAGCACGCGAGGTATGCGATCTGAAGAGGTCATCGGGGCGGAGTTTACCCACATTGCGTATCTAAGAATACTGCTGTTTTATGCGGGTGGTTGACTTCGAAGATGCTATGTAGTGTCGAGATCTCGCGTTGTCCATAAGGTGGCACTTATAGGATTTAAAAAAACGAACAAAGAGCCACGGTTATGACTTACACTGCTTGTTGTCCCCAATGAAGACGATCTTCGCGAGGGTGAACTTGAAACGGTCGAAAAGTGGAAGGTAACTTCCGACTTCTATCTGACTCCCTTCGTCGAAGATTAGGATGTCCACTGGATTGATATGACGGGAGGGTTCGAGATGGTTATTTGATAACATCCCTAGTGTGCACAGGATGACTCTAGTCCCGTGAAGTTGTCTGGACACGCCAACGCCTTCGCGACTGAATGTTTCAGAGCGAATGAGGCACGATTCAAGCTTCTCGTAAAGATGCTCATGCCTATGACATTTGCTGAGCAGAAGATTTCCCAGACATGTAAAGACGCACCAGTCAAAGTGAAATTCCTTTGACACGAAGTCATAGAAGCCCATTTTCGCAAACTTCTCAGCAATGTTCTTCACAGCGACATTCGATCGTGCAGCTATCCAAATGGTCCGACTACCGGCAGCGGGTAACGAAATAATGCTGGTGACTGTGGCAGTAATGACTGTCGTCCTGCCGGTTCCCGGGAGTCCCTGAATCAAGACCACTCGATCCATATCTGAGGCAGACAAGATTTTCCCGATGGCTCTTTCCTCAGAGGGATTGACTTCAAGGTTTGCACAAGAAATCGGTATTTTGGGCTTCGCAGACATTGTCCTCCTTTTCTACCCACCTTGGCCGAACCGAACGTCTCAATGCCGCTTTTTCGTGCCTTCGCATACTTTGGCATCTTTAGTGATCGCATTTCAACGATAGTTCTGTGGCCGTGCGTGGCGTGCTCCGTTCCTTTTTCAGGTGCGACCTTCTCACAATATGCGTTGTGTCCGTCGAGTTCAAATGATCTACGCCCCTCCTGAGGTGGATGATTGAGGTGGCTATACTTGAACTACTTGTTTGCTTGGAGGTTTTGGAAATGTGCAAATTGTGACGGATAACCCCGACATTGCTAGCGGTTCAATCAGATCCCACACTCAGGTTGAAACTTCGGATGGAATTGCAGCAATTCATGACGGGATTTTCACAGGTCCTTCAGCTGATTCTGAGAGACGCTTCAACCTTTTGCTTCATCTTCTAAAGCTTCACAGAAACCTCAGTTAGACATGGCCACCTATCGGCAGTGGGGTTTTTCCTCCTCCCAGTATATCTTTCCGGAAGTTATTGGACTGTGATCCCACCTCACGTTGCTGTCTTTTGTGACCCTTGCATTCTGTGGGTGTGTTTAAATTTTGCACTCATTGACAGAATGCCCTTCGTTTGTGATAGAGGTGCATGCCGGGACGGTAACTGACACACCCGGTTGCTGCCACGTGTGCGCGTCTCCGTCGAAACTCTGACAGGACGAATGTACGCTCACCGTTTTATGATTCCTCAGGCACTGGAGCATGCATAGCCCAGCGGATGCGGCAATAGTCCTAATTGTAATCATGTACGTTTATGGAATTCAATATTGTGAGCTGTGGATCAGACATCGCGCTGGATCTGGTAAGTGAAACCATTTATGTAATTCATTAAGCTCCTGCACCGCTCACAGCCATCTTGCACTTGATGTCGATGGAGTTATGGGAGTGCATGCTTTCTGATCTTGTATGGGCGGCGATCATTGGTATGAAGCGGTTTACTCGTTTGTTCCATATCGAGCCTCTAATCTCCCCCTATTCTGTAAACCATCACAGGAGAACGTGGGCACTGGTACAGTTCTTTGACACTCATACCTGGGTCGCTGGTCAGGGCGTGATGGACCGGACTCATGGGAGTTGGGACTGGCGGGTTCATGGTCACATGCTATCGGCACACCGGTTATCTTCAAAGTCCAGAGCGTTAAAATCGTAGGCTCGTCCAAGATATAAAGCACGAATGACCTGGTACTCAGACTCACCACCGACAAACACTGATCACTAAACAACAGCAATGGCCTCAGAACGTGTCCTCCCCCGAGTCCCCCTTCTTCCTGTCTGGGCATCTTCACGCCTTAACTCTCTCTTGCGAAGCAAGACCGCAGACAGGTTCAACAGGATTTTTGACGCTACTTTCGCCCAAAACCTCGAAGTCGTCCTCAACGGGAAAAATCTCACTCGCAACGAGTACAAGGAGCTGTTACTCGCGCTGAGTGAGGCCGGACCCTTGGGAACTACCGATGTGCAGATTGAAGGAGAGACGGTAGTCAACCCAATCCCTTCTGAAGATCAATTGGTAGGTCGGACCCTGGACCTCTCAGTACCATGACTAAACAATATATACCGTAGGGAGGCTTCGTCGGCATGTTCTACACAACTGTGGGCACCTCCAAACGTATCTTTGTGCTCGGCGCACCTGCGAGATATAAGGTCGTCTCTTCCATTAATCTGACGTACGTTGCGATGCAGACTGCATTTTATGTCACCATATCACAATCCTAATCACCATGCAGCGTGAAGGGGACGGTGCCCTACCCGCCCCGCCCCATTCCTTACTTCGATCCACGGCGAGTCACCGCAGTTAACCAGATCCTCCAGCCCAGGACTCTTACCGTCTCATTCCCTGGGTCGGTTTTACCCGCGGACGGAACTTCTGGCTCTGGAAAGGTAGAGCTAGGACCGGGGCCTGTTAACATCACGCAAGTGGAGGAGGAACTTAGTGTGTTGGGGAATAAATTTAGCACCGCGACAGTTCCTGAAGCTGAAGTTGATGTAGAATGAGGTAGTTGCTTCCTCAAGGAGGGATGATAGAATGGAATGTAACTCTCTGTCGAACACCCTGCATGTATGTTTGACTCTGAATTTGATTGCATGTATGTCAGCCAGCGAGTACGGCGGTCTCAGGACCATCAGATATTATTGTCCGTGTTCACCTAGAGGCTTCCCGTACCTCTTGGTACATTACCCCTTCCCACGTGGCTATTGTACGGTTGCTCCTCCCGATTGAAGATACTGATGTTTGATGATTCCCACAAACGAAAAGTACAACTCAAGTATGACTGTTTCTTGCAAGGAGTTCTCATTATACGAGCGGACGGTACTCGATCGGTGTGGTATCACACCGCGTAAGGACTAGTTCTGTTGTGGTACATCAGTAAAAGCTAAGCGCTTAGCTTTTCTGCATTTAGATTAGCAGGATTTTGCGCTGAGCGGAGATGCATATATTGAATCTGTCTTTCAGATCTCGCAATTTAAGCTGGAGCCTTGATTAGTAGCTACCTATTGTGCAGAGGAACAGGAAGTAACGAAGAGCTAGGCACGAACACTTGCCTTTATATCAGAACGGTAGTAGATCTGAAGTAAGCTTGTAAAGCGTTGAGGGGCTCAGTTGTCGAGTAGACAAGTGAAGAACGAATACTTGATTCGATGGGGATTGAGGAAGAAATCCCCGAGTTTATATACATGAGTAGGTACACACGGACTGTTACGGTTCTTTTACGGCGTTTCCCCTTTTTACTTTCTAACGGTCACGTGCGTCACGTGCCTCCTCGCGTCGCTGGTCTTGGTCCTCGTCCTAGGGGTTAGGATGCTGAGGGGAGAGTTCAGATCACCTGCTGTCCAGGTATTTCCAATACCTGTCGAGACTCCATCACCTGTGATCCGTCCGTGACGTTCACCACTCTTGTGATTGATCGGGTGCCCCCTTTTTATCTTTATGACTCTTTCTGACTCGTCTATGCTGTACTATAGTTCCGGTGTCAGGCTCCTTACTGTGCATTGATTGCGCAGTCGGTATAGCCTTCACTTACGCCTTACTCCCATCTTTTGACACCGCATGACTCATTTCTATTTCAAAGCGTAGTTTGTTGATTACTGCGGATACACATCGCGACGCACCTGTCACGACTGGAAGGGTACTCTTACTTTAGAGTATTTAAGCCTACGTACTTCGTCGTGTATCCTCAGTTTTTCGATAGCTTGCAACTGAGCTAATAACTTCGCTTTAATCCTTGTTCTCTCTCCGCGCGAACAACCTTAGGGACTCGCCAGCAGAAGGAACCTCTGTCGGATTCTCGCGATAACTCAGCCATAGGGGTTACGATACGTTTGGCCCGTAGTCTCCCACCTCGCGCGCTTCGTGCCTATTCCATTTGAAAAAGTCACCGTGCTTGGGCATAACAAAATCGAAAAACTCTACGCAGCTTTCAGGACTTGTCGACCTCTTTGCAAAAGTCTACTCGTCCCTGGTTACTGAACTTCAACAAACCACGTCAAACCTTCTACTCTCCAAGGCTCGTCCGTTTCCCTACGCGTAAAAACAGACTTGCCCTTTTTCTGTCCTCAACTACAAGTTTCCGCCATTGTGCTCGTGGATCCCTACGTGTAAATTCACTCGCGCACAATCCCCCTTTTATACCAACAGGTTTCTCTCGAGAAATAAATCCTCCCTCGGTCTTTGTTGTCACTATCCGTCAAAGTGTCAAATCCTCAGAAGTCGAGACCACCAGTTCCCCCGCGTATCCCGCAAGGACTTGGTAGGAACCCGCCTTTACCGCCAATACCGCTAGGAAGACTTGGGCCGTCAGCCACAGCAAGTAATCCTAGGTTGTCTTATTTGTCCCGTTTTAGGGAATCAGAAGTCGCGCTTAGTTCAGAAGAAGAAGACAATCAGAAGTCGGAGACTTCTTTCGGATCAGTCCTCAAGGAAGAACAAGAAGCACGCGGAGTATCCGAGGTGTCTATGACTATCGGACCTGGAGAATCAGCTCCCGAAATGCCACCTAAGGTATATACAGAGGAGGAGCTGAGGGAAAAGTTGGATGAATGGATGCATTCTTTGGCCGCTGACTGGTGCAAGATAGCTGGTCAGGGACAGTCGAGTGATCCCTTCCCAACAGGTACGCCTACAGACTCGGCTCTGCGAGCTTGGTACACCAGGAATTTCGGAAAGGTAATTCCCCCAGAGGGTCCCGTTGGTGGATCCAGTAAGGGTAAAGCCCCAGCCGATGATGGTGACAGCTCGTATGATGTCCGCCCACCCAACGGAGGAAGGGAGTTTAATGTCGGGCGTCCTGGAGAATACGATGGAAGCCATAACGGGCTTCAGACCTGGGTGACACAAGTCGAAGGTTATTTGAACCTCAATAAACATGTCTACAACACAGAATCCCTCAAGATCTCGTTTGTGCTCACCTATATGACTAAGGGAGCCGTGGTAACCTTTGCCGAAAATTACCAGAACGAAAACAAGCTTCTCGACGGAACCATCTGGTACACCGATAGTTTCCAAAAATTCGTCGATCGTCTCAAAGCTACTTTCGAATCCGGTGATCAAACCGCTTTGGCAATCTTACGGCTCTCCGATATCACTCAAGGAAAACGAGAACTAGAGGCCTACATCGCTGAGTTTACCGGACTTGTGAACAAGGCCCAGTTAAAAGAGGAGTCGCGTGAAGCAGGGATTTTCTTCGGAAAGGGACTCAATAAGGAGTATCGAGATTGGATTCTCAATTCTGGACGCGCCCCATCCACGGTGATCAAATGGATCCAGTGCGCGGGAGAAGCGAGAATGGCAATCGCCACCAGGCACATTCTCGAAGGAAAGGAGTCAAAGTATGAGCAGAAGTTTATTCATTTCCGCAGCAATTCCCGAGATCCCGATGCGATGGATGTCAACAAAAGAAGGCGAAACGTACGCTGATCAAACCCCGAAATTACGTGCTTCGGTTGCGGAGCAAAGGGTCACATGAAACGTGACTGCAAATCCCCGAAGTCGACCCCTGTGCCTCAAGGCGTGCGCATCGTCCTTTTATCAGACGGATCAAGAGCCGCCTATGTTGATGACCGTCCGGCGATGGATGAAGAGTTAAAAGCGCACGGGTTGAAGAAGGAGGATTTTTAAGAGGGACCACTGAAACTCCTAAAGTCGGTCCCGCATCTGTTTTATCCACTATCTGTACTACTACTATAGACGACGAATCCAAAATGAGAGTCGAATTGCCTCTAGGAAGAACGTGGTTACCAGATTACGGAGCAGGAGTAATGTGCTGCATCAATTCGGGTGCAGAGGTCTCACTCATCTCGGAGCGAATCGTTCAATGTCTCAAGATTCCGACCTATCGCGTTAAGACCCGTTTCAAGACCACTTCCTTCACCGGAAAGGATGTCGAATGGGTCACGAGGAAGGTTTCCATACGAATCATCATCAAAAATCACGTTGTCCGCATCAAGTGCTATGTTGGGCCCTTGGTTGGAAAGGAACACATCCTCCTGGGAATGCCGTTCCTCCGAACGTTCAAACCAAGACTCGACTGGGGGAACAACAAGATCGTTTGTTGGGATGACGGGTATGAACCTACAAAGGAAACTGACGTTTTTATTAACAGCCAACTACCGTGGCATTACGAAGGGTATGCCGTCAAATTCAATAAGGACGGAACAATAAAAGAACCAGTGGTAAGTAGTGTTAATAAAACCACTCTCTCCACAGAATTGGAAGCCGCATTGGCTCCGAACAAAGAAGACGTAAAGCTCCCGGAACAATACAAGGACTTCGCGCAAATCTTCTCCGAGGAAGATATCCCGCTGCCACCCCACAGGCCGGGTTTGGATCACGAGATTCGTCTCAAAGAAGATTTCAAACCCAAGAAATCCGCGGTCTACCCTATGTCGCCTGACGAACTAAAGGTTCTAGACGACTTCCTCGAAGAAAATTTGAAGTGCAAAAAAATTCGACCTTCAACTTCGCCTCAAGCAGCGCCGGTGTTCTTTGTAGCGAAAAAGGATGGAAAGAAAAGGTTGATTCAAGATTACCAATACCTTAACTCTTTCACTATCCAGGACGCACACCCGCTACCAAACGCGCAAGCTCTGTTTGATGAGCTCGTCAAATCAAAGTACTATGCGAAGTTCAACATTCGCTGGGGCTTCACGAACTTACGGGTCAAAGAGGGTGACGAGTGGAAAGGGGCGTTCATCATGCCCCGCGGACTCTTTGAACCGACGGTAATGTTCTTTGGCCAGTGCAATTCACCACCTTCATTTCAGCGGTATATGGATCGCACCTTTGCGAGCCAACGAGGAAAACAGGTGGGGTATATGGACGACGTAGCAATCCACGGAAAGACAAAGGAAGAACTCCGGACTCGCGTACGAGAGTTCTTGGAAATTTGTCAAAAAGAAGGACTTCGGTTGAAGATCAGCAAATGTGTCTTCGAAGCCGAAGAAATCGAGTTTCTAGGAATGGTAATCGGAAAGGGTCGGATGGAGACTTCGCTGACCAAGACAGATGCCATTAGCACCTGGGAAGCCCCTGACAACCTAACCGGGCTTCGAAGGTTCCTAGGCTTCTGCAACTTCTATTGCAAATTCATACCATCTTTCTCAAGCGTCGCACGCCCTTTGCATGATTTGACGAAGAAAGGGGTGTCCTATTCGTGGACGCCAGAGCGCAACAAAGCTTTTGAAAAGCTAAAGTCTTTGTTATGCTCGACCCCGGTCCTCACTATCCTGGACTTCGCCAAGCCATTCGCCCTGTTTACAGATGCCTCGAAGCTCGGCACGGGCGCTGTTCTTGCCCAGAAAGGAGCCGATGGGGAGTGGCATCCCTGTTCTTATCTCTCCCAATCCTTGGTTGGCATGGAACAGCGGTATCAGGTGTATGACCTGGAGATGCTCGCGGTCATTCGGGCACTCAAAGCTTTCCGCCCTTACCTTCTGTCCCCGGTAGAACCGACTGTGGTCTTTACGGACCACAAGAACCTTGAATACTACCGTGAGCCTCAACAGCTCACTCCGTGTCAAGCTCGCTGGGCTGCCACTGTGCAGTCCTACCCCATTTGTTTTTCGTGGCAAGTGGGACGCCTTCAAGTCCCTGCCGACACTCTTTCAAGGAAAAATGAGTCCGCTGAACC